GAAGACACACCGAACTACAGAGAAACTTCTAATCCTGTATAGCGATATTAACAATTCTTTTGCAGATTAGCATATATGGACATTGGAAGATGTCACAGCATCCTGGCCAGTCCTTTGACAGATACAGCTAATGATATTTATACTTTGTACTTTCAATACTTAAGTTAAGTTTAAAACAAAAAATGGCTATGATGGAGCGACGTAGTCATCATTGTGGCTAAGCTCCGTAAATAAACAAAAAAAAAATTAGCATATATACAACTTCCCAACATCAACCGTTGGGCCGCGGCCTGCCAGGTATAATCACCTTGCCTGGTCGGAGAATCCTCCCTTTGTATTGGAGCGCCATGACACCCGTTCCTCCACAACACTTAAAACCAATTTCGCCAGTGAACATTCTAAATTTAATTTTAAAAACATTTTTGTGACAGTAAACGAGATCCCTGCCTTTCAGATGGAAAAAGATTAAACTCTAGAAACCAAGTATTATAATACTTTTGAAGTGCTTCGTATTGATACAGTTGGATAATACTGATAAAGGTAATCCAGATGACATTGTTTTGCACATATTAGTCGCCAAGAAAAGAACGTAAAGGAGATAACTGTCGTTAAGATTAACGACAACGTAAAAACTTCCATAACGGTATATACATATATCTATACTTATATTATAAATGCGAAAGTGTGTCTGTCTGTCTGTTACTTCTTCGCGCTTAAACCGCTAACCGATTTAGACGAAATTTGGTATAGAGATAGTCCGAGTCCCGGGCAAGGACAAAGGTTAGTTTTTATAACAGAAATCATACTTTAAGAGGGTGAAAAGGGTGTTGTAAGTTTGTATGGGGAATCAACAACCGCTAAACCGATTTAGATGAAATTTGGTATGGATACTATAATTCTTGAGAAAATACATTGGCTACTTTTAACCACGATAACCGTCATTTACGCGGACGGAGCCGCAGGCAAAAGCTAGTATATGTACATAGAAATTGTTCTCATGGGGTTGTCTTAAGTATGTAATACTATTTTTCATAGTTTAGTTTAATTAATTAATTGTTATAAGTAGTTAAGTTATTACGTTTTTTTTGTAATTTATGTGTGATGTACACACAGTGTAGCATGGATCACTTAATTGATTAACAAGCGCGTCTCGCCGTTAAACATACGTTTGGCGAGTATAAAGTTTAAGTCTTAGATCTAAGTTACTACTGTGAATTACTTAAATTAAAAAAAAAAAAAAATATATAATTTTAATTAAAAGAAAACAAAAAAACATCGGTGACAAAGATCTAAATAGAAACTCCCGACGAGTTTAAGGGATATCAATAAAATGAGGAGTACTCTTAAGAATTGTTCGGACGTTCACCGGCTTAAGACAAATTGTCGCCTATGGTATATCCGGACCAATTCGATCTTCAAACCTTACAGAAAAGAGCGTACCTCAAAGAGCTGGCTACGCACTTTTAACACTTAAGTTTGTAGGTGTCCAAGGACTGCGGTTGTTTCTTACCATCGTATGACTTGTTGGCTCGTTTGTCTTTAAGAAAGGTAATGGCGTCCAGTGCCTGTGTGTTGACTTGTCGTGTACCTACACAAAGTTTGTACAATGATAGTTTAAATTAATCTGGTCAATTAAATAAAGTCAAACATTTAAAATTTAAATAAATATAATGAGAGTGAAGATGACCACGCTTGTGACTTCTGGGTTGCAGGCTTTAATGGGCGGCGGTAGTCGCTTTCCATCAGGTGAACTATCTGCTCGTTTGCCTCCCTATTCCACAAAAATAAAGACCAACAGGCCAATGCTTTAGGTTAGGAAAGACGTGCTTCTAATCCATCATCATTGGTCATTTTAAGTAATATTTAAGTAGGCTTTTTACAAAACAAACTGTTACAGTTCATTTGCCTTAATAAAATAGTGACGCATCGAACGAGCTTCGCCCCCTGGCCAATCAGGTTCCAAACAAAAATTGTTTCGTACGATATCTTGGAACCTGATTAGTGCGGGGTGTCTGCGTCACTATTTTCTTAACACGAATGGACTATAGAACGATGTGTAAATGTCACCAATCATTCCGTGTAAGCAATATCCTTGTCCTACTATTGCCTTTTCATAAAACCAACCATTCCTTTCATTCGTCATTATACTCTCAATTTTCCCATCAAACACTTGAAGTGCCCTCTTGACGGCTTCGTCTGGTCACTTATTGATTCTGTATAGTTTCAGGCAAATGTGACACGAACTTAGCAAAGTACTTTTTTTTGTGTTAGAGGGGGCAGACGAGCAGACGGGTCACCTGATGGAAAGTGACTATCACCGCTCATGAACGTGCCCTATATTCAAAGTGGCAATCGGAGTTACAGGAAAACATTTTTTTTACTTATTATGCTTTGAAAGAACAAAAAGTGCCTGTTAAGTGTGTAGAACTCAAACTCCAACTCAAACATCTTTATTTCATAAAAAAATTAAAAAAAAAAATTTAAAAAAATTTAAAATCGTCTCTTGTGTAGACTCTAAAGTCATAGATCATCATACACAATAGCAACAATCTCTGTTTTGTCTACAAACATTTTATCTACAAACGCCCATTTCCAAATGGTTGAGCCTCATGAGAAGAAAGGGCAAACAAACTCATGGCCACTCTTTTTAATCAACAGATAACAATGGCATCATTAAATATACACAACATTGTTTTGATGTGTGCCAGTATGTAAGTTTTAAGGACTAAAAAATAAAAAGGCAATGAAGAGAAAACAAGATATGGAAAAAAGGTGGAATAAAAAAAGTGAAGTAAATGAAAAATTAAATAAAAGACACACTAGCCCACATCACATTTCCCCTACGAACACTGTGTTAAAACAACAGAACACTGTTTTGTTTTCTATGTAATCCACAATTAAGTAATAGGCGTATATAATCATTTGAAAACAAAAAAAAATGGTTATTTACTAACACAGAGTTTTTAACTTATCAATAGAATTTTTCTAACCCAGGTAGGTAATACCTACGCTTGGTCGGACGGACCAACTAGAACTAAACCCGCTAAGTATATCAATATTAGTATATCATTCATATAAAAAAATCTTTACACATTTTATAGGTACTCCGTCATATCCCTACCTCAAGAATATGAAAAGAAAAACATCATCATAGTCATCAACAAAAAAAAATGTTTTTAACGTTTTTTTCGTTTTAAACGGATTGGTTTAATTCGTTTTAAACCGGCCTTACATTACATCTATACTCGTGGCTAAGACGTAACTGAGTAAGTGTCATGTCATAAAAAATCCGGAAAGTTTTTCTACAGAACTTCGATATCGCCTGGTACTTTGGGATGTGGAGATCTGATAGTCGCACCGCGTAAAAAATATCGAAATTCAGCCGTATCGTAGTGGACTTAAAGCCGAACCCCAACCACGTTTGGGAAAAAGGCTCTGACGAAGTGTGCGATGGTTGTCCTTGCCTCTACCCTCCATAGTCAATTGACTACACTGAAGTCAGAAGTTCAGATCACATACATATATAGGCAATCATATTCATTTGATGAAATGATTGATTTTAGCCACAGCGATTTCACTAGTGATTGTGGTTTCGTCATAGACAAGATAAATGCCATTAAATCAATCGAATTTTTTTTACATATTGTACTGGCTTTTTAGATATTTTTTTTACATTTAGACCTTTCGCATAGCATAATAATGTATAACATAATATATCTCACACATCACACTTTGTAAATCATATGATTTATCACATATCATTGTGATTTTATACCATTCCTAATAGGCATATACATACACCTAGCGCAGATTGACTACTAACGACTTGTGACTGTAACTAATCAACATATCACTGCGATTGAAAGTGAATATTATGATAACGCTACGTCCAAATAGCGAATAACGATAAATCTAAAATAAAAAAAGGTCTTAGATTAATTGAAAATGCAATATAAATATTATTTGTTTTTTTCTTTGCTTAAGTTTTGATGGCATATGACCATCACAGTAGTGATTTATCACTGGTAAAATCGCAGTGTCTAAAAACGATAGTGGAATCATATGATTATTACCTAGGAGTAACAATAATTTCTATCACACGTATTACACATGGGACAAAATCACAGTAAACAGTGATTTATCATTAGATTTTTGCAGTCGTAGGTTAGAGGCTAGGTAGGTAGGTTAGACGCTCTTAACAGTAAATCTAGTATTTTTTAAATTATTATGTAGGGAACGGTAGCTATATGTATATAATAAAATAATTACGAGATTTATTGGTAAATAGGGTCTTTATGCATCGTCTGAAAACAGCTTATTGGCAACAACGAGTAAGTACCTAGTAACCCTAACCTACGTACAAAAAAATCGAATGATAAATCACCGGTCATTCACAGTGATTTTGTCTCATCTATGACTAGTATCATTCTTATTTTCACTCGTAGTTCAAAGTTCTTCGTTCATTCGTTCAGCAGGCACCTTGTTGTTTTCTGCTGTGTCAACTGTGTTGTGTATTGTGTACGTTCATGAATGAACGATAACGAAGTTCGTTATGGTTTGTCCGGCTCGCCGCCCGGTTTCAACTCAACTAAAATAATAAATAGTGTTCTAAGGTCGCAACTACCGAAGACTCGCGACTACTCGATTTGCGCGTAAAATTATTTTTCTGCGTAGAAGTATAAATAGGTACATTATGAAGTCTTTATATAATTGAAATTTGCAAAAAAATTGGGGTCGGGCGTTCTCAGTCTCAGTGCAGATTAGTTCGTCTGCTGTCGGTCGAGCTCGTGCTCTTCGATCTTTCTTTATCTTGGGAACTCGGAAATGCGAACATCTCCAATCTAAAATATTCTGTCAGTTGATCGCGCGTAATAGGATACATTGGTTGTATTGAACATGTTTCGGCAGTGCTAAGTGGAATAAAAACTTTTTTAAAGGCGGCAGAGTTGTGAACTTTAATTAGAGATTTAGTTATTCTTAATAATCAGCAAGAATACACCATGGCAGACTATTTCCCGGAATATTTGTTTACATTTGTTGATCAGCTTGATGAGCACCCGTGGCTTTTCGCTGGTCTTGCATCAGTTTTAGTTGGTTTAAGTGGTATATTACCGTTGCTCATCATCCCTTTGGACTCGACAGACACCTTCAACGATGGACGTAAGTGTCTTTTGTCTCCGTCAATTTTTTTCGACATGTGTTTTGTTATTTTTAGACATTGAGTTAAAACAACACTAGAGAAGCAAGCCTCATTATCACACGTCGAAAAAAGTGTAACCACTTTTGAACTTTGACGAAGTAGCTTTGATACCACGAAACATTTGAAAGTAAACATATTTATGTCTCATTTACACGCGAGACAAGAACAATACCATCGCTCGGATTAGACAAAGACAAAGACATAACTTTACGATGGTGGGCCAGTGTTGACTACCGTATGAAATTTTACCCATAACAACCAAGAAACAATTTTTTTTTAAAACAATTTTGTAATAAAATAAATTAATTTAAATATTTTAAATAATATATTTCGAATTGAATGGAATAGGTATAAATAATAAAATAACTAGAAATATTTGGTTAAAAGGGTTTATATTCAGTGTAAAATCAAACTCCGCTATGAAGCATCAGTTTTGTATACAATTGTCTTTTAGACTCTTTTTTATAAGTTTGAAGTGAATATTTTACTTTCATGATACAATCTTATTTTTACCTATGTATAAATAATGGCATTTAATAGTAAAAGTGAATGATCAACTTGTACTGATAATAAATAATCCCCAGGGTGTATTGCAAATTCTTTTAATATTTTAAAATACAAATAAAAATATATATATATATTTTATTTTATTTATATTAATTTACTTTTTTATTTTATATATATATTTTTTTTTGTACAATTGTTATTTATATTTGATAATTAATTAAGAAAAATGAATGAATGAATTAATTAATTCTTTTATACAAAAGTCTCCAGCACTGCAAGCTTGGCAGAAGGTGAACGTTCCACGGGTCCCTAAAAAAAGTGATCGATTCAGCCCTAACAACTACCGTTCTTCCTATATTTTATTATTATTGACAAAATGTTTAAAAACAATATAAAGCATATTATTTCATAAATTATAAATTCTCCCACTAATGTGGGAAAACAAAAATCATTTTTTAATGGTAACACTGATTCTAAATTACAATTATCAATGTTTTATTTCAATTATAGCCTTATTTACGATATTATCAATACAAAAACCATAAACTTACACGTGATAAGTAATTCCGCATGATTTATTATGGTTTTGTGACCTTGAATCGCATTCTTTCACTACGCATTTACCCATTTTGGCGATTGTTACTGTCATGTGTCGCTATGTTCAACTCGGTTGACGCCACATTGAACACTGAATTGACGTTTGCTACGCATATGCCTGTGGACAGATGTGCAGTAGCAACGATTTTAGGCGGTAATTACTCATCTATGTAAGTATTATATCAATGTTTTTAGATTAACCAAGTCATCTTTCATCCATATTATTACGAAGCCGGCGCATGCGCAAACGATGCTCATATTTATTTACTTTTCGCGGGATCGCATACATGCCGTCTGTTTCGAAACAAAGAATGTAATTTTCAACATATTCTAGAAATTCCATATAAACAATAGTCATTGTAACGTTTTCGATTCTTCTAGAAATAAAGCTACATAATAATCGTTTATTCAATAAGGTTACCGTTTTTTTCTATTATTATATCAATCGCTTCTTATTACATAACTACTTACAGCTCGTAAATACCTTTAAAATTTAATTAAATTTAACCAGGGCTTGACCACTTTTCGTTTAATCTAATTAGAAACTTTAATATAGAAAATATTATCGTGCTAACCGTTAAGTACATAAGAAACAGGTTTAGGTACAACTTTTAGTAAATATCAAATTAGTATTGAAATATATACAAGTTAATACTTCAATCAGGTTAATTTTGTATCCACAAGTAATTGAAAACCATAGACAATAATTGTCAAAATTAATTTTAAAAATATATAGAAAATAGGTACAGTCTATACATAATTAAACTGTACTAATAATGACATAATGTTTTTAAAGAATGTACTTAAATCAATGTGAGATATTTTTTAGTGCTGCACTATGGATCTCAGTATCTCACAAAGATTTTATTACAATATCTAAAAAGTGTCATCACTTAAATAAACATAATATAAAATGTAAAGGATTTACTTTATGCCTTTTGTTGCTCAAGGAGGTTTCATACTGTGTTAAAAGTTATAATACCCTAATTTGGGTTACTACAGAAACATTATAATCAAAATGATGGAGCAGGAATAGGTTTATCTAAAAGTTATACTCAAATTGAAATTTATTCTAAGCTTTTTAGTTTGTTTGATAAGGATTTAAAACTTTTTTTTATCTATTTTGAGTGTCTGATACAATATTAATTTTGCTTATTTGGATATATTTATTTGAGTATTATAAATGTGAGATATATTATTATTAATTTTGAGTAAGATTATATCTTATTGGTTGTGAAGATTTGTGTGTATAAGTTACTCAGTATATCTGTTATTCTTTCTCTCTGAAACTACAGCACAGGTTTAATTAATTTTTAACTAGAAATGGCTCAGTCCCTGGGTAAGCAGAACAATGAAAACACTAAGGATGAATGCCAGTAATTAAGAAGTATTAATAAGTTAATAAAATGACCTTAATCAGACTATTAGAACATAAAATACACAATCAAACCTTATAATGAATTATATTGTAATGAAATTCTAATTATTGCTATGTAAAATATCATGTGACATAGATAAAACTAGTAAATTACTGATAATCTGTCAAATGACAAGGGTGTGGTTTTGTCTCCGGTTAAAACATCACCCGAATTTTGTTTTTTTTTTGGTTATTTTTAAAGACAACTCCCGTATTAGGAATAATTCCTGTGTCATGGGGGACTTTACAAACCTACATGAAACGGACACAAAGAACACCCAGACTCAGAACAACAATTTGTGGATCACACAAAGTTTCATCCCATGTAGGGAACAGACCCACAACACTCCGCGTAGTAGTGAGCTGCATGGTGACCGCTTAAACCACTATTCGTGCAGTCATCTTCAAATAGTCAAAATTATGCATCTTCTTATCCTTGACAAGGATATTCTAGAACGGTGATATTCCAGAGTTCGATGTTTCCTGCCTATGTGAGAACAATAACACATAGTTGGTAATTTATCATCCGTGAATTACACAATACCACTGGCCAGCTTGTGTCTGAGGCTATTGACATTGCATTGTTTTGCTCCAAGCGTGGGAATAACTTCACTCCTATTACCTTATCTCTTTTTAGATGGGAATTTACAGCATAACTATACTGATGTAAGTACTGTTGGTCAGTTTATCTGTTTGATGTCTTCAAGCTCATCAACTGTAGGAACTTGATTGATGAAAGCACATAGTATGAGCTATATGAAAGTAAATCTATACTAATATTATAAAGCTGAGGAGTTTGTTTGTTTGGTTGAGCACGCTAGTCTCGGGAACTACTGGTTCGAATTTAAAAATGCTGTATCTATAACATCACACAATGGCCTATGTCCAGCAGTGGACTATTAAAGGCTGTTGATGTGATGACCAATAGCATCAATGAAAAATGTTGAGAAAACAGAACAATTTACAGCCATTTTTAAACAGTTTTTTAATGAAAGTTAGTAACAGAAGCTGTAAATTTTATTTTGGGTTGGCGCAATGTGCATAGGCTGGTTTTTTGTATGGCTGATGTCAACCTGATGATGAAAATTGAAATGACTTGGAGTAAGGCAAACTGACTTAAAAGGAAGCTGAGCTACAGGACTACAATTGCCGTAACTCGAAGAGGTCTGGTCGTCCAAATGTCCGACCAGTACTTGGAGAAACCAGAGACTAAGATACGAATATCAACTGCCTTCAAAAACTTTGCATGAGATTAAGTATTAATTGTAATAAGTATTAATTGTGTCTCTGTTTACAGTCTTATGTTCCGTTTTAATTGACCCTATCCAGACCAGAACAGATGCTACAAACAATGACAAATTTGTTTGTGTCGTCCATACGACCTCTTTCCGAGGACAGCATCACATATTGTTTTTTTTTTCTCTGAATTAAAAAAAGAACCCTGAATTTATCTTTCTTTTGTTTAACGTTTGGTTTCTAATTCCTAAATCAAATCTTTCGCAACGGTATACTTTACTTACATTTTAGCGAAAAGATGGATTAACAAATATGACTTGCCTTATTTTAGGCATTCTTCTCCCCATGTTAAGTTTTTTATATTTTAAAGTTGTAAAGCGGATCGTCTATCTTTTTCGAATAACATCAAATTCCATTTAGCTTTAAAACCGTGATTTTCTGACAATCGAACGTCAATAAATATAACCTTCATGTAGGACATAAATAACTATGATAAGAGATTTATTGCCATTTATTCATTACCAAATATTATTCACCCAAAATATCTTATCTACATTCAAAGAAAAGAGAACTTTGAAATCTGCTTATTATTCAATTTTTTGTTTCATCTAATAGTTCCTTGTTGTACCTTTTTTTTTCCTGTCGGGGGCATGTCGGACTCGAACCGACTAAAACCGCACGCCGTCTCGGGTACTAATAGCCGGGGAACCAGGTATACCCTAGAAAGGAAGTCCCTGGCACTCCTTGTTGTACCTAAATCTTAACTGGCAGTGGAAACCTAAGCACAAATCTAAAAAAAAACGTTTTACGTTTACACATATTACATAATGAATATTACAATGCATGGAAAAGTCTTCTGTGACATCATCGTTACGAAAATCATAGATTAATTTTATTAGATTTTTTCATTATACGCATTGTTGGAAATATTGTCATAAAATACAAATTGAATTGAGTACCTACTGTTGGCGGAAGCTGCACAGATAAAGCAAAATTTACACTATTGCACAATTGCAGAGTTTTGGCGGGTTAATTTTATTGCCCGCCACTTGCCTGATGCGTCCCGTGTAATCGCTTTCAGACTGGATCAAGAAGGACAGTAAATTGGGGTAGAGAAAACGGATATGGTGAGGCAGCTAGAGTAAGAGATACCTTAAGGCTTCATAAGGATACCTTAAGGATTCATACCTATCATCATCAGCC